CCCAGTGGTGTCGAGGAAAGAGCGATCTAATTACCTAAACGTTGCAAAACAGATGAAAAAAAACCTTTTTTTTCTGCTGCGACAAAGATTCTTCCCGCTTGCTCCGCGGACGTAAATAATAGATGGGAACAGGGTGAGGACGGTGCTCGCGTGCTTACCCGAGGTTCGTGAGGGTTTCTCGTGCAAAAATCCAATTTTTCTCTCTGCAAATGAGAGAGCCGGGCGCCTAATCCATCGTCCTGGGCCCCTCGCGACTCCGGTGCAACTGCGTTTTTTAATACGTGCGAATTATCTGTAAGAAGCGAACACCATCCTCGGTTTCCCGGGGGACGCGGGAGCCCCAGCTGCTCTATGAGAACCGTCGTGCTGTGTCCCGATGGACAAACCCCCGTGCGTGGCGGGAGACGCTGCGGGCCCTTCAGTCTGGCCTCGAACTGGAGAGGCGTCCACCGGCCCGGAATGCGCGTGGGGGGCAGGTTTCTTCAAACGTGACACAACGCTGTCCAGTAATGGTCTGATTTACGTTGAGTTCGAGTGACCTCTTACAGGATTCCAGGCCAGGAGGAAGGGGGAAACTGAGGCAGGAACGCCAGGACAAGGCCAAACGGTGTGAGTCGTCGGCAGCCGGCCTGCATATAACAGCGCTGTCTCCCCCGGCCAAGGGCACTGGGAGAGCAAAGAGTTAAAGACCAACCACCTTAAGGAGAGAATGCAGGGAGGGAGGGGGGTGATGGAGGGGAGGGGAGGGGAGGGGAGGGCACTTTTACTCCCGAAGCAGAGAAGCCAGCATCCCAGGCTCGGCAAGATGTATAGGTTTGCTTGCTTTGCTTTCTCAACGAAGGTGCACGCTTTAATCACTTTAATAAATTAGCTTTCCACAGTGCAGTGCAGGTCTCTCGTATACATTCATTCATCTGAGAAGACGAGGTTCCAGGTTGGGGAACCTCTCCCACTAGCTCAGGGGGCTGCCCTGTCCGGGAACACCGCCCTGGTGTCGGTGGGAGGCGCTGTAGCAAACCCCTTCCCTTCGCCCTCTGGCCGAGACGCAGGGAGGTGAGCGTGGTCCGAGCAGCTGTGTCAGCCCATCGGGTCCTGAAACCGGACAGGCGAGGGTCCCGCCCAGCCGGTCACTCCGTGAGCCCGCTCAGCAGAGACAGGGTTGAATCCTGTATGAGCGTCGATTCCAGTAATGCCAGCAGCCCGTGTGGTGTGGCTGGTGTGGCTCGGCAGTTAGAGCGTCCGCCTGCGCACCGCAGGGTCTCGGGTCCGACTCCTGGTCCAGGGCACCCAGCTGGGTTGCAGGTTCGATCCCTGGCCCCCAGTCAGGGCGTGTGCAGGGGACATCCGATCGATGGGACTCTCTCACATCAGCGTTTCTCTCTCTCTCCCTCCCTCCCTTCCTTCCACTCTCTGTAAAAATCAACGGAAAAAATATCCTTGGGGAGGATGAACAAACAAACAAACAAAAAAGAAAAGAAATAAAAAATGTGAACGGATATTAGGTGAAAATGCAGGAGCCATGAATGAAATATGGACTTGGGTTAATGAGGTGTCCATACGGGCCCATTAGTGGTAACAAGTGTAAGATACGAATATATGGAAGATGTGAATCATCGAAAAACTGTACCGAGTTCTGCAAGTCTGACACTGCCCTTACATTTAAGATGATTAGGAAAATAAACAACAAGACATGGAAACTACCTTTACAGTTGGTTGAGTTGGGCAATGAAGTGGAGTCAGGTACCCTGGCCCTAGTTACCTCCTCATTTTTCCTCGAGCACTTTCCGCAGTCCTCCTAGAAACAGGAATATTCACGGAGAACCTCATGGGTGCTTCAGAAAGACATATTTATAATTCGTGGACAAGCTATTTGTCCTAACATTCCTAAGCCGTCTGGCAACCTTTCAGAAGGGACGAAAGTTAAAAAACGAGCCGCACGTATGGAAGTAGACCCGTGAGGCACGGCTGTGGGCCCCAGGGGCACCCCTGCTCTCCGTGTAACTTGGGGCGCCGCCTACGCGTTGAGGGTGTTATCTTAACGTGCCGACAGGTGAAGACGGGTCTCCACGCGCCGTGTGCTAAGACGGGCGCTGCGCCCGGGGGAACGTCCTCGCTCGGCCTTCGCTCTGGTGCTCAACATCAGCCCTTACAGCCGTTCCCTTCCCCCCTCGTTGTCGAATCTCCGAGAAAGCCATCCACCTGGCGGCCGACGCGCTTACTGCCAGACACCTGTCGCCGTCGCCCTTGAGGCCTATACTCTTGTTTTGTGTTGTCCTCCTTCATGCCTGATGAGTTTGGCTGTGGATTAGACCATGTGTGTGTGTGTGTGTGTGTGTGAGAGAGAGAGAGAGAGAGGGAGAGAGAGAGGGGTGCATGGTGCCTCAGGTAGCTGGCACCCCCAAGGTTGAGGCCTGTGCCCCCCGGGATCAGAGCAGGTGCCCGACCCTAATTATCTCCTCGATCATAATCGAGTCTGTCACCTGGAATCGGGACTGCGTCCTGGTGTGCAGAGATGGGAGAGGAGCGGGGATGGGAGAGCAGGTCTGCAAGCTGTTACTATAGCGACAGGATGCAGACTCCTCTGTCACAGCCGCAAACAGAAGTGCTTTCAGACCAGGGACAAAGGGAAGGTAAATCAGGACTGTTTCCATAGCAACAGGGAGACCATCTCCCGCTATGGGTAGATGACGCCACCCCCCCCCATTATAATGTTGATATCCGTTCATTATTTTACTTATTTAAGTATAATTTTATTGATTTCAGAGAGAGGAAGGGAGAGGGAGAGAGAGACAGAAACATCAACGATGAGAGAGGATCATCCGCCGGCTGCCTCCTGCACGCCCCCTGCTGGAGATGGAGCCCGCAACCTGGGCATGTGCCCTCCACTGGGATTGGACCCGGGACCCTTCGGTCCGCAGGCCGACGCGCTATCCACTGAGCTTTACAAGCCAGGGCCGGCCCATAACTTTGAGGAGTAGAAATACAGAAACCTCCTGAACTGAGGGCTTGAAGCGTGAGACACAGAAACACAGTCAAACCTCGGTTCTCGGACGTCTCCCATCGCCAGCAGTTAGGTTCTCGGCCAAGTTGCTCGTGGAAAGAAATGTCTCCGTTTTTTCGAACAAAACTTCAGTTCCCGACCTGACACCCCTTCCAGGCTGAGGCATCGCCTGGCACAGCAGAGAGCTGACAAGCAGGACAGCGGTGTGCCTCAGGGGTTCCCAGCGTGGGGCACACGCCCCCGGGGGCGCAGTTTGATGTTTAAGGGGGGCCATTCGAGAATGTGTCATTCACAGTGACTGTTTTGCATTTCTTAGGGCTCTAGGGGCCGCGTAGACAGTCTGTACATATATATATGGTGACGTATTTATGCCTCTCAGTTCTCTGTTATATGTTTGGAACTTTATTGGCTGTTCTTTCATCTCCCTTCACATTATTATGTATTTTTTAACAATTCCTTAGTGAGTCCTTCCTCAGTCCGTCCACTGTCCTTTCGTCCTTTTGCTTTTCTCTCTCATGGACGCCATGTCCTTTGGCAGCTTGTTTAGACCGAGTTCATGGCCTCTGAGGCTTCCTCCGCGTGAACAGGAGCTCACTTTGTGAGTAAGAAGAATTCTGTGTCTCCAGAGGGGGTGTGGGAGGGGCATCAGGATGTTGGAGGTGCTCGGGGGGCGTGGCCCGAACAGGCGGGAAGCACAGGTGTCGCTGATGTAGCCACGGCGTGGCCTGCTGGGGGGAGATGGGAGAGCGGAGGCCCGTCAGGGTGTTCACGCTCAGTGGGCGAGGACCCGTGCCCTCCCTCACGCCCCCGTTTATTCAGCCGCTACCGCCACGCACCTTCCCGCACTTTCCCTCCACTGTAGACGTTGGAGCTGCGACCCCCAAATGTGCAGGTTTGACCAGGCCCCCTTCTTGGGGAGCCCGGGAACCCCAGGGCTTTCCCCCCAGCCTGTAGGCAGCTCCCACATCAGCCCTCCGACCGGGCTTCTTCCTGTTTCCTTTCTCTCGTCTCCCATTCGCTCACATCCGAGTCCGCGGGAAATCCCACTTACCGGATGGAAGCTTCTGGAATCCAGAAGAACCACATTCTGGGGGAAGGGGCGGCTTCCTTTCCATTTTATTTTTTGTTGTGCATCCTCACCCGAGGCTATTCTTTCCATTGATTTTTTAGAGAGAGTGGGAGGGAGGGAGAAGTGGGGGGGGTGGGAGAGAGCGAGAGAGGAACATCGATGTGTGAGAGACGCATCCATCGGTTGCCTCCCGCAAGCACTCCCGACTGGGGATTGTACCTGCAGCCCAGGCAGTGCCTTGGCCGGGACCCTTGGGTGCGAAGGCCGATGTTCTGACCACGGAGCCACCCGGCCGGGCACCTTCTTCATTCGCGGGCGCTGTGTTCCTGGAGCGGAACCCCATATGCTCCTCCCCCTGTCCTCCCTCCCCGGGCCGAGGACAGGAGCGTGTGGGATAGAGCCCCACACTTCTGGCTGGAGGTCCACCAAAGAGAACTTAAAAGATTTTTAAAAAGTGCTGGGTAGGTTGCCGAAAGGACAGTGGTCAAGAAAATGACCCCTAACACATTACTGTAGCCCGAGCCAGTTCGGTCAGGGCTCATGCAGGAGGCGACCAATCAATATTTCTGCCTTTTCCCTCTCTTTCACTCTCTCTAAGAAATTAATGGGAAAAATGTCCTTGGGTGAGGATTAACCAAAAAAGAAAAGAAAAGAAAAGGACCCCATAAAAAATGATTCTATGGTCCAGCTGGTGTGGCTCAATGGTTGAGCGCTGACCTATGAACCAGGAGGTCAGGGCACATGCCCGGGTTGCGGGTTTGATCCCCAGTAGGAGGTGTGCGGGAGGCAGCCGATCCATGATTCTCTCATCGTGGACGTTTCTCTCTCCCTCTCCCTTCCTCTCTGAAATCAAGAAAAAAGTATATGAATTTTTTTAAAAAGAGGAAACCCACTAACGGAACCACCGCCCCTCCTCTCGCTCTGTTGCAGGAATACCAGATCGACATATTTTTTGCGCAGACCTGGACGGACAGCCGCCTCCGCTTCAACAGCACCATGAAGATCCTGACCCTCAACAGCAACATGGTGGGGCTGATCTGGATCCCCGACACCATCTTCCGCAACTCCAAGACGGCCGAGGCCCACTGGATCACCACCCCCAACCAGCTGCTGCGCATCTGGAACGACGGCAAGATCCTCTACACGCTGAGGCGAGACGCCGGGACGGGGCCCTGGCGGTGGGGGACCTGGGTCCCTGACTGAGGGCCCGTAGGGATGGGAACTCTCTCTCTCCGCTCCGTGGGGTCTCTCCTCACGTTATCCACGCCCGAGGGCGCGATGCCTGGGAAGTCCGCCCGCCCGCCCGGGTGCCGCGGGTGTGAAGATAAAGGCCCAGAGCGTGGCTCAGTGGCTGAGCGTCGGCCTAGGAACCAGGAGGTCACGGTTCGATTCCCGGTCAGGGCACATGGTCGGGTTGCGGGCTCGATCCCCAGTGTGGGGCGTGCAGGAGGCAGCCGATCCATGACTCTCTCTCATCATGGATGTTTCTCTCTCCCCCTTCCTTCCTCCCTGAAATCAACAAAAAAATATATTTTAATAAAACGTCATCCTTAAAAAAATAAAAGAAAGGCACGCACGTTGTAGGCCATGAATGAAGCGCGTTCTTCATCAGAATCCGTTTCTGCTGGAAGTGGGCCGTGGAAATGAGCGTTAATCTATTTAACCCGCGGGTCCACTTAGCCGGGAACAGGAAGATGTCTTGGCGCACTAATTAACACATGTAATTAGAGCAAATTAACAAACTCGAGACCACAAGGCGGGGGTGGGGGTGGGGGGGTGAAACAGCCGGAGGGAGTTCCCCGATGCATCCCTCCTGGAAACCTGGCTGCCCGTCACGCGAGCTCCTGGGGGCAGGGCGGGCCTCCCAGAAACCTGGTTTCGGGGGAGAGAAGCCGGCTTCAGAGAAGTCTGGTCGGATGCACGCTGCTACATGCCACAGCCATGCCCGCACCTGAGCCAGCCTTCCTGCTCCCCGGGCATGAGGAGGGGACGGGACCTGCCCTCCCTGAACTCCAGGCCTCACCCTGCTCTCCCAGACTCCCCCTCACACCTTTACTGCACCTGCTGCCTCTCTCTCTCTCTCTCTCTCTTTTTGGTCAGTGCTCACCGAGGATATTTCTCCCAAAGATATTTTCCCATTGTTTTTTAAAGGGAGTGAAAGGGAGGGGGAGAGAGAGAGAGAAACATCGATGTGAGAGAGACACATCGGTTAGTTGCCTCCTGCACCGAAGCTTATGCCCGTGACCGGGAATCAAACTCGTGTCCCCCTGACCAGCTCTCTAACCACCGAGCCAGGGCTCTTTGTTTTATTTCTTTGGTTAAATAGGTTTTTATCGATTCCAGAGCGAGGAAGGGAGAGAGAGAAACGTCAGTGATGAGAGAGAATCATGGATCGGCTGCCTCCTGCATGCCCCCTACTGGGGATCAAGCCTGCAATCCAGGCACGTGCCCTGATCAGAAATTGCACCATGACCTCCTGGTTCATAGGTGGACACCCAACCACTGAGCCACAGGGTCCGGGCAATAAAAACATTTTTTTAAAAAAGCAATGCAAAATGACACTACACCGCCCTCTCCGGTTGGGCTCAGTAGATAGAATGTCGGCCTGCAGACTGAAGGGTCCCGGGTTCGATTCCAGTCAAGGGCACATGCCCGGGTTGCAGGCTCGATCCCCAGTAGGGGGTGTGCAGGAGGCAGCCGATCCATGATTCTCTCTCATCATGGATGTCTCTCTCTCTCTCTCTCCCTTCCTCTCTGAAATCAATAAAAAAATATATATTCTTAAACCGCAATACAAAATGACACACCCCCAGAACAACCCCATGATGCCACTTTGCCACCACCAGGAGCGAGTCACAGGTGCTGCCTGCCCCTCCCCTGCCCTCCGGCCCCGCCCTGTCCCCCCACCACCACACACACTGTGACTTTGCTGGGTTCTGGCTGGCTGACCTTGACAGTGACCTTGGCTCCCCCGCAGGCTCACCATCAATGCCGAGTGCCAGCTGCAGCTGCACCACTTCCCCATGGACGAGCACTCCTGCCCGCTGATCTTCTCCAGCTGTGAGTACCCCCCGGGGCCTGGAGCCCGCGAAGGAACGCCTGCCCCTCTGAGCGGCTGGCGACGGTCACGTGATGCGTTACAGCGTCACCGTGCAGCCAGACAGAGCAGACGACAGTCTGGTTTTGGCCACTGGGGTGTCTTCGCCCCAGACTTCATTCCATTGGACCCCCCGTCGCAAAATAGGTGCTTGGGCGCAGCCGTGTGCAACGTAACCTTTCCTCAGAGTAGGGACGGGTTTGGACGTGGGTGGGCAGCTTTGTTTTGTTTTGTTTTGACCAAACACCCTTATGCCAACGGGCTGTTTTGCATGTTATTTGGAATTACACACAACTATGTCCTCTCTGGCCGCCGCGGCCCGGCCCCTGTGCGTGGTCACCGATCCGGAGGCTGTCCCAGAACCTGGTCCTGTGGGTGTTCTGTGGAGGGTTTCGAGGTAGACACGGCGGACTGAACCCCTGGCCTTCGCACCTGGCTGGCTTGGCCTGTGGACTAAAGGGTCCCGGGTTCGAGTCCCGGTCAGGGCACATGCCCGGGTTATGGGCTCCATCCCCCGTGTGGGGCGTGCAGGAGGCAGCCGATCCATGATTCTCTCTTTGATGTTTCTCTCTCTCTCTCCCCCTCCCTTCCTCTCTGAAATCAATAAAAAAAAAATATTTTAAAAAATTGAAAAGAAAAGGTTTCCTGGTCAAAAAATAGTAATTAAAAAAAAAATCGTTGGCCTTTGGTGGCTGGTTCAACCTCCAGCCCCTCTCTTCTCTCCGGAGGTCACGGGGATGGAACTCAAGTCCCGACCTTCCCCTCACCGGCCTGGTTCCCTTGGCAACCAGCCCCCATCCCTGCTCTCTTTCCCAAAGCTCCTTCCTTCGCATAACAAAAGGCTTTGATGCCGGCCCTGGTCACAACCCAGGGTTTTCAGGGCTCTGCGCCAGAAAAGGGACAAAGGCCAAATATATGGTTTTAATTATATATCATTAGCCTCCGAGCGGGAGCGAGCAGAGCTGGTAATTACCAGAGGGCAGTGTGGCTCCATTGTGCTGGGCCAGGAAGCCCGGGGCGCGTGGGGGTCCGGCGTGGACAGGGATGTGTCTGTCTCGGCTGGTGTCTCTGGTCAGCTGCCTTCTCCTCGGGCCCCGCCTCTCAGATCTGCGCTGGGAGAGAACTGGGGCCGGACCCTGCGAGGGGGCTGTCTCCCGCCCACGGGGAAGGGTCCTACTCAACAATGAAAAGACAAATCTCGCCGGCCGGCGTGGCTCCGTGGTTGAGCGTCCATCCATGAACCAGGAGGTCTCGCCTCCATTCCCGGTCAGGGCACAGGCCCGGGTTGCGGGCTCGATCCCCAGTGTGGGGCGTGCAGGAGGCGGCCGATCCATGATTCTTTCTCATCATGGATGTTTTTCTCTCTCTCCCTCTCCCTTCCTCTCTGAAATCAATAAAAGTATTTTTTTTTAAAAAAAGAAAGTATGCTAGACGCGGAATTTTGTAGTTGTACCGTAAATAATATTTCAGGTTCGACTTCTGGGAACAATTAATTGGAAAACAAAATGTTCTTTGCTCGGGAGCTGGGAGTTCTGTGGGGAGCGGCCAGAGCTGACCTCCTAGCAGTTCTGTCTGTGATTCTCACTCTCCTGGTGAGACACTCGGACATAAATCCCATCTCCCACTGGGCTTCCCCATTCAGCTCTTCATTCCTCTGAAATGCAGCTTTTAGCCCGGCCGGCGTGGCTCCGTGGTTGAGCTTCGACCTATGAACCAGGAGGTCACGGTTTGATTCCCAGTCAGGGCACATTCCCTGGGTTTCAGACTCGATCTCCAGTGTGGAGTGTGCAGGAGGCAGCCGATCCATGATTCTCTCTCATCATGGATGTTTCTATCTCTCTCTTCCTCTCTCTTTCTCTCTGAAATCAATAAAAAAAAATATTAAAACAAACAAACAAACAAAAACCATGCCTGGGTAAAAAGTGTGTTTCTGCTTCTTTTTTAACATGAGGAAGCATCCCTCTAATTCTTTCATTTTATTTCATTTTAATTATTATTATTTTTTATTGATTTCAGAGAGGAAGAGAGAGGGAGAGAGAGAAACATGAATGATGAGAGAGAATCATGGATCGGCTGCCACCTGTACGCCCCACACTGGGGATCGAGCCTGCAGCCTGGGCATGTGCCCTTGACCGGAATCGAACCCAGGACCCTTCAGTCCGCAGGCCGACGCGCTATCCACTGAGCCCAACCAGCTAGGGCCACCCAGGCACGGTTTTGTATCGTGCGTTGGGTCCTTGGAAAATATCGGTTCGCAGACTTACGCTGATCACCCAGATGTTTCCCAGTAACACTGAGACAATGTTGGTTAATATTTTCACCCACCTCACTCGAACAGTATGCCGAGAATTCGGAGATGATTAAGCTCATGAGGGTGACACACGCTTTCTAAAATGTTAATTTCCACCTGAAATAGCAAATGTTAGTCTTGGCCACAGATACACGCTGTCAGTAATTTCCTAGGAGTGACAGACCTCATTCATTTCCGAGAAAATGCCTACCCAACACCCAAGTATGAAAATCACCGTCATTTGCCAGTTATTCGTAAAAACGCTATTTTCCTGAGAAAAGTTTTGCCCTTCAGCACCCTGGATGCAAGGTTGATTGTGGAGGAAGATTTTTAGATTCTTTCTAAATCCTTTCTGGGAGCCGCTCTGTTGTAGGGGACTTTCTCCCCAGCTCTAGGAAATGCTGTTCCCCGAAAATCAAGGTCAGTGGAAATGGGAGAGGGAGTGCGGAGAGAAGGGGGGGTGGGAGCAAAGCCACAGCCGATCCTCAGGGGCCACAGAAGCGGCACGCCCTCGGGGTGCCCGGCTGAGCTCGCAGGTTTGCCTCCAGCTTCTCATCTCGTGACCCCTGCAGGGTTCCCCGAGGTCCAGACGGGAAAACAGTGTGTGATGAACGGCACACTGGCGACCATTTAGAGAATCCGAGCCCTGGTGATCAGTGGTTAGTGTCGGCCCGCGCATCAAAGGGTCGTGGGTTCGAATTCGTTCAAAGGCACGTTACCTGGGTTGCAGGTTCAATCCCCGACCCTTGTTGAGGCGCGTGCAGGAGGCAACCCATCGATGTGTCTCTCACATCAATGCTTTTCTCTCTCTCTCTCCCCCCTCCATCCTTTGCACTCTCTCTAAAAAGCAATGGAGCCCTGGCCTGATAGCTCAGGTGGTTAGAATTATCGTCCCCGATACCCCAAGGTGGTGGGTTCGATCCCTGGTCAAGGCCCATGCAAGGACCAACCGAGGAATGCATAAGTGGGTAGAACAACAGTCACTCTAAAAAATCAATAAAATAAAAAAAGCAATGGAAAAAATATCCTCGGGTAAGGATTCACTAAAAAAAAAGAATGAGGGAAAAAGAAAAGTGCTGCATAAAAAAGTATTTCTTCCACCTCAAACACGTGTCAGGGGTCATGACGTCAATCCCCAGGCGAAGGCTTTTGTCTTTCTCTCTCATTTTTTTTTTTTTTTACATATTTTCATTGGTTTCAGAGAGGAAGGAAGAGAGAGAGAGAAACATCAGTGATGAGAGAGAATCATGGATCGGCTGCCTTCTGCACGCTCCCTACTAGGGATCGAGCCCGCAACCCTGGGCATGTGCCCTGACCGGGGATCGAACCCGTGACCTCCGTTCGGTCGACACTCAACCACCGAGCCACGCCGGCCGGGCAAGAGCTGCCTGGTTTAAAATGCTTCATAATCAAAAATAAAAGTATTTGTTGTCACCGTTAGACCTCCCACTGGGCCTTGTTTTTAACTTTTATTTTTGGGGGTGTGGTTTGTTCAGTTATAATCAGATTTTACTATTTTTCTACCGGGGCCTGTAATTAAAACTTAATGAGGAGAGATATATTTTCTTTAGTTATTTATGTTTGCAAATCATCAAAGTCAATACAAAACAAAAGCCAGGATAAACAATGCAATTATATGCCAGCTCCGGGGCACTGTAATATTATAAACTCGCCTTTGAATCCGAGGAAACAAACATTGGGGATCTGTTCCCATGATTAAAGATATAATAAAACAGCTCTGCCGGCGTGGCTCCGTGGTTGAACGTCATCAGGAGGTCACTGTTTGGTTTCCAGGTCAGGGCACGTGCCCGGGGTTGTGGGCTCGATCCCCAGCGTGGGGCATGCAGGAGGCAGCCGACCCATGATTCTCTCTCATCATTGACGTTTCTCTCTCTCCCTTCCTCTCCCTTCCTTTCTCTCTAAAAAAAAATCAATAAAAAAAACATATTTTAAAAAAATAGGTCTGCAATTCCCCGGTGGTGAATGGAACAGCAATCTCTTTTAGCCGAGGGAAGAAGATGAACGTAAATTCCTTTTGGGAAAGAGGAATCTTACCCTTTGGCTACGATGACATCCTTTCTTATAGTTGGTGGTAAGGATGTTGGTGGGAGCTGAGAACAAGAGTGCGGTGCGAGCACCGTGGACAGTTCACGGTGCATGCTCTCCCAGGCTGGTTGCCTGTGGCTGCCCCAGGCAGGCCATCGGGGCAACTTGTGTCTGCGGGTTCCACTCCCCTTCCGTTTTCTCTGGCCAGCCGGCGTCTTTGTGAGGTAAAGCAAAAGAACCCGAGGGAAATGATCTGTTTTGCACATCTCAGCTCGATAAAGCCCATGACCGTGAATGTGTTATCTCACAGATACGTTCTTCAATCTATTTGTATTGACTTCAGAGAGAGGGAGGGAGGGAGGAGGGAGGGGAGAAAGAGAGAGAGAGGGAGAGAGATAGAAACATCAATGATGAGAGAGAATCATGGGTCGGCTGCCTCCTGCACCCCTCCTACTGGGGATCGAGCCTGCAACCCGGGCGGGTGCCCTGACCGGGAATCGAACCTCCTGGTTCATCGGTCAACGCTCAACCACTGAGCCATACCGGCCGGGACTCATTTCACAAATATAGATATCTTACGGTCTATTTAGAAAGAGCAAACCATGCTACGTATCTCAAGGTATGACG